ATTACAAATGTACAGGAATATTTTTATCAATTAGTCTACTTTATGTCCAGACAAATAGTCTAAATAGATTAGATGGAACACGGAATTAAAAATATTTGATGATTTTTAAATGATCTATATCAAATAACAGTACATTAGACTTTTTGTTTATTAAACATAGTTTTCTTAATTATTTTTAAAAATAGTAAAGTGCAATAGGTACATTTATATCCGGCTGTAATCGCGGTAGTTTTAAAATGATTAAAATTTATTTTTAACTAATTAATTATTATGCAACTGTATGCAGAGTTTAATAGTAGATAACGTACTAATAATGTAACATCTTTTAATCCAATTCACTAAGATGGCGTATATTCTTAATTTTATATTAGTAAGATTATATTCAACAATTACAAACGCTCCAAATCGTGATTAAAATTACTTTTTTTTACAAATTAACCGAGTACTATTTTTAGGGAACTTAAATAATGTTACAACAGTAGCCCCCATACAGTTGTACAACAGTTCAAAAACATAATACAAAACCTCACAATTATTATGTGATTTTAAACAGGCAGGGTAACAAAATAGACTACAATAATTAATTATATAATTCCTACAATATTAATTTCATAATAAATATCAACTAATTACAAACAATTACCATTAAGACATTCAAGATAAAACCAAATCAAAAAAGCAACTGTGCCAACAATTAATTGGCAATTAACCATAAAAATCAGGGACATTCAGCTAACATGAGGGGCACATAAACTCGCCCACAATGGGTGACGTGCTTTATGAACATCCTATGGTTTGGCGTCATATGATTGGATGAGGTGTTGAGTGGCCTTATATGACGTCACAAACGCTACAAAACAATATAAATACTTGTATTCAATAATAATAACGCGAATAACAAAATATAAAAACCATTGAAAAAAGTTGAGTGAATCACAAGTCCTCTCAAAAAGAGTATATAATTAAATGAATAATTGATTTTTGCAAATAATAATAACAAGACTTTTAACAACACTTGTATTGAGCGACTCGTCTCACAGACAAGACATCACAATATCATTGCAATCATATGTGGCTAAAGCTCTCGCGTTTTGTAGAATATACAATACAAAGCGTCTCTCAACGATGTATACTGTCATAGCTGTTGTGACGTCACAAACGCGAAAGCTATAGCCAGGTCTGATTGCAATACAACGAATACTAACCATACGTTTGTGCGGACACAACACAAGAGTGTAGTTCATAATAACGAGTATAGACAGTGTTAGCTCGCGTACGGTTCACCGCCGCCACTATGCCTCCAGTGGCCGCTACAGTCAACTCCCGGTCGGCCACACCGACAATCGGCGCTCAGCCGCAGCCCAAGAGTGGGCAGATGTCGCTGTCGTTCGCCGGCTGCGGGTTTCTTGGCCTCTATCACGTGGGCGTCGCCTCATGTTTCCGACAGTACGCCCCACTCGACAACACCGAGATCATCGCCGGCGCCTCTGCTGGCGCACTCGCCGCTATGGCCATGTGCTTACGGCTACCCCTCGGTATGTGTCCACTACACCCGAGTACACGGGTATATGTGATGTGTGTGTTATATGTATGATGTATTGTATGGTTTATATATTCATTTCATTTGCAGTACGTGTGTATGTATTAGCGCGAGACCAAAGCGAAACCTTTGCCCAACACTTATCTATTAATATTAGAAATATTTTATGTATTTTTATAAAAATTATGTGACTTATAATTATACGTGTATTTTCTGTTGTATACAATAGCGCCTCGATGTAAGAAACTCGGGTATTAGTGAATATTGTTTTTTTTTTATTTCCAACTTTTTTGTTATTCATTTCCTGATAATCGGGGAAACACTCGCTATGTGTTGGGCAATGGGTTTTCTCTCTCACACTCTGATTGCAATGTTTTATCGCATATTTTTTTGTGCGAAATTGAAACCAAAAGTGTTTTATATTTTTATTTTTTTCTCACATTTGATATCCGATTTGTTGGCTTCGGTCCCATAGATATTGTCATACATTTCTCAGAGATTTGCTGTCCCTTTATATGCATAAAAAAAGTTTCACTTATTATTATTCTCGATATTAGTTTCCATAATATTATTTATCGCTCATTAATTTTATTATCTCTCCTTTTTTAATACGACCTCCAGATGTGTATATAATGCGAGTGAATGTCTTTCGATACGATTGCCTGTATTTGTTTCCCATAGACTGACTGTACATATTGTATATGTTATGGTAAAGGGTTTTTCGCCAACAAATTTTTTTTATCAAGTTATGAATTTTCTGCATTATATTTACGTTATAATAATTATCATGTATTTATGATGACTCTTATTCATCGCTTAAGACATGTGATGTTTGATTAGACGTACTCTCCCTCTCTCCCCTCCTGTTCTCCCCTCCTCCTGCTCTCTCTCTCTCTCTCTCTCTCTCTCTCTCTCTTTCTCTCTCACACTCTGATTGCAATGTTTTATCGCATATTTTTTTGTGCGAAATTGAAAGTATGACAATCACAATATATCACTCATCATCCGATCCACTCTCTCTCTCTCTCTCTCTCGTACTTATAATATCCTATTGAATGTGTTTTCGTGTGCTTTTACTTAATCTCGAAACTAATAATCAGTAAATTGAGTATTGATTTGATTAAATAGTTATGAAAATATTGTGCACACATTGTTTGCGATGCCATTTAGATGTATTGATCACTAATTTTGATACTAAATAATCAGTAAATAATATTTTTCCGAAACCCCTGTTATCAATAGTGAAAATATTATAGATATTTCCCATACAAATAGCACAATAAGGAAAAACTACCAAAACATATGCTTTTGTTTCGAAATGTACGGCAAAACCAGTGCGAAAAAGGGCCCCGAAATTAATGGCAAACAAATAATAGTCACTCGCATTGTATTTATCATTACATTATTGATTTGATTATACGCTTAAAACAAACACAAGTTTTCACAGAAAAAAATATTGCAAAATAAGTACATATTTAATACATAAGAAAATTATGTGCGGAATAAATACAAGTATTACTATAATTATACACTTTATGAATTCAATTCACTATACATTACAATAATGAAGGGATTTCTATTTAAAAATATTTTCTTCAAGGTCTTTCTCTCTATTCATTAAATTTCCTATAGATTTACGTATTTTAATACACTATACGTAATACACAAAGTATATTTATTTCATCAAGTTATTTATACAATTATGTAAATCATAGTTGTAACCACTTTTTTTTTAGATCATCATGTGTTAAAATCGATGAAAATAAATAAATAAATTAAAGCATAATTAACGCACAAATCACTACATAATGAATACATAAAATTTTATATCACATATTAATGACGCAAACTTGTGATCACATTTCTAGGCGAGAGTACGTCAGAGATACTGCACGTGGCCATAAAGGCCAGGGCCCGAGCGCTGGGACCCTTTCACCCGAGCTTTGACGTGAATAAGATCATACACGACGGTCTCGTCAAGACATTGCCCGACGATTGCCATAAGAGGGCCACCGGACGGCTCTATATCAGTGTCACCCGCGTTAGCGATGGCAAGAATGTACTCATCAGCCAATTTGATAGCAAAGAAGATCTCATCCGGGTATTTAGTTTTTACCACTTTTTGTTTGTTTGTTGATATTATCCGAAGAGTTTTGTTATTTATTGTTTATTTTTATATTTTATTTTGTTTTGAAATATGTGTTTTATGGTTAATTTCCTAATGATTAGCACACTATTGGCAATGATTTTAATTTATTGTTTTTGTTTAGTGTATTTTGTAATCTTGTTGTTCATTATAACGGACTTATTATGTCAATTGCTGGCTATGAATATCAGTCTAGTATTTGCCTTAATATTGATATTTTATGCGAGATTTGTGTTGAAATGACTTCACATGATATATATTTTAAGATTATGTTTTGCATTATTTAAAAATATGATTTCAAAATAGCGATGAATGACATATTAGGCACAGGTATTTGTACAGGTATACTGTACTGTACACATACAGTCAATACTCTGGGCACCCATACCTCTTACATACCTGTCCTCTAAATTATCGGATGAAATAGTGATTTGACTGATAAGTATCAATGATATCCACAATTTCCCATTCAATATATTTCATGGCTTTTATAAATTGCGACAAAAAACAGGTTTTTTTGCCACTAATTGCAGACTATTTTTAAATTTTTAATCAGATATTATGGTTAAAAAATTAATTTTGTATTTATAATTAAGTTATCGCAGAATATTTGCCGATAATTATGGAGAGAGAGAGAGAGAGAGAGAGAGAGAGAGAGAGAGAGAGAGAGAGAGAGAG